TGTGTGTGTGTGTGTGTGTGTGTGTGTGTGTGTGTGTGTTTGTTTAAATTTGTATTTAATTTTTTTTCTTGTCATGTCTGTCGTCTCATCTTTCTGACTGAAGATCTTGATTTGCAGCCCAAAAAATGTTGTTTCTGCTTCCATCACAGATTCATCAGTCTATCACAAACCCACATACATTCTGCAACACAAACACACGCACACACACACATACGTAATTACACTGGCTGCCCTCCTTTTGGCATCAAATTCATTTTTGTTTATCTTTCTTGGTAGAAAATAAATTCTCAGAATAACAAATATCGTTGTTTTGTTGTGATTGCACTCTATGTCTGTTTGAAACCATGATTGTTTCTGCAGAGAGAGAAAAAAAGAGGCAGGAGGCTCTGGTCTTCAGCTTTATTCAGCTACATTGTCCTCATGTGGAGCCAGTTAGCTTCCACTGATTATAGCTGCTTAACAACAGTCCAGTTCACTGTTTTATGCAGATTAACCTGCACGTATCTCCTTTGTGGCTCAAACTAGTACAAGTAGATATTTCTGCAGCGTCCAGGCGTCCCGAGCAGGAAAGGAAGAGGAAAGTTGTGTCATTGAGGCGAGTTTGCTGTAGGGGCTTCACAATACAGATCACATAAATACATTATTGTTTCTGTTGTTTCCCTTGGTTCAACACGTGTGTTATTGTTGGAACACAATTAGCTTCATTTTGCATCAAAATCAAATATGCTAAATAAAAATTTTTTTTACATTTGAAATACTTATTGTGTGTGATCTGATTTTCGTTTTCAGCATGCAGTTATTCACAATGTCAGTGAACAATTCAGAAATATTGTGTAAAAATATGAACTCAGCACGTATTTAAAATTTCATACATTTCAAGTTGCAAAAATAAATTAAAATATAACATCTGAACATTTTATTTAATTTCATATATACATTTAATTGTGTTTCCAAGTTGAATTATTCTAGCTTTCCTTCTCACCATCCAGTTTGACCCGTTTCATCGTAGCTTTAACTAAACTCTGATAAATTGTTGCTTTGGCCTCTAATCCAGCTGCTGAAAACCTTGCAGGGACACACGCGCACACACACACACACACACACACACACACAAACACACACGCCCCCGGAGCTTGGACAGCCCCGCTTTTGGGATCAATTTTTCTGCTGCACATTGCAAAGCGTTATAAATAGTACGTCGACCCATGTAGTGTTCGTATCTATCGCTGTGCCTCCCCCCACCACCACCACCACCCTTCCCTCCTGGCACAAAGATCTCTTGTTCCCCCGGTGAATGCGTGCTGCCCTGAGCCATTCAGGCTTTTGTGGGGCCAAGGGGCCCCTCTCTCTCACCCCCCTCCGTCCATCCTCTGCTGGGGTCAAAGGGAGGCAGGGGCAGGGCTTATCCCTGGTTAGTGGGTGAGGACAGGGGTGTGTGAGGGGAGGAAGTGGGAGAGGGCAAAGATATTAGACTTAAAGAGGTGTGGGGGAAGAAATACAAAAAATAATAGTCTTGTTTTACTTATTTATTTTTTAATTTTTTAATGCTAAATTATGTTTAAAAGACAAAGAAAACACTGATAG